TGTTCCTGGCAATTGACTTCGCCTTATAGATGGGATCTTCTTTCTGTCTCTTGCCTGTGAAAACAATAGAATTTTAGATATAGACAAGACCTTCCATAGGTTCCAGGTAGTAGTTCCAAGTAGTGGTTCTCTAATGTAAATCAAGAATCTAAAAATCTTGATAAGCAAGAGCTGCCTGTACCCCATTCACAAAAATTCTGATTTCATAGGCCCTGGTCCCGGGTAGCTCATTTGGTTAGAGCCTCATCCTCATAAGCCAAGGTTGCAGGTTTTATCCCTAATCAGGGCACATACAAGGTCAGGTCACATACAAGAATCAACAAATGGCCCTTGCTGGTTTGGCTCAGTGAATAGAGCGACCACCTGAGGACTGAAGGGTCCCAGGTTCGATTCCAGTTAAGAGTAGATGCCCAAGTTGCAGGCTCAATCCCCAGTGGGGGCATGCAGGAGGCAGCTAATCAAAAATTCTCTCTCATTTTTCACGTTTCTATTTCTCTCTCCCTGAAATCAATAAAAATATATTTTAAAAAAGAATTAACCAATGAATACATAAATAAGTGGAACAACAAATTAGTGTTTCTCTCTCTTCCTCTCTCTCTCTCTAAAAATTCTGATTTGATAGATCAGGGTGGATCTATCAAATTTTCATTTTATTTTATTTCATTCTGTGAATTTTCATTTCTAACAGCTCCTGAGGTGATTCCACAGGCCACACTTATAATAGCACATACCTTACTCAAGCCTGTGCCTGGTTATAGATGAAGAAACTGACGTTCACAGACTTGAAGCAACTTCACTACGGAGATCCATGATAGCTGACATGGGTCAGTTTTTGTATCATCCACCATCAATTCACTTCCTATCACATTTATCAATACTTAAGAACACGTGATATTCAATTTGTATAGCAGTAAACATAAACACATTATACTTGTAGGAGAATGCATTTTGTTTCCAGGGGCAGGGCTGAAAGCAGCTTTGTTTGTAGAGACTGAGAGCACGAACCACAGCTGGTTTGCTTGCTGAAAACGAAACATGGAGGAAACACAAGTTCCTGTGTTTCACAGCAGGGCCTCTCACTCAAACAAGAGGACGCTCTTAAAATGGGCAAGAATTCTAGGGCAGTAAGAGCCCAAAGAAAAGCCTAAAATCACAGGAAAGATTTAAGAACACAGATGCAGATTTTTTTGGAATTTCCTATTTTTCCCTTAAGAAGCTGTAACATATTAACTAAAGTACTTTGTGTGTTAGCACAGTCACTTCTGTGACCCAAGCTCCCATCACCCACATCCCAGAGTAGAATAGTTTTTTTCTGCTGAGTACCCCTTTCATGGCTCTGCTCCTCTCCCCCAGCCTTCCTCCTGAGCTGTAGGTCCCCCAAAACACAGCCATAAACAGTGGAAAAACTGGAGTCACTCACCAGCCATTGCTGCGCGGGCTCCCTGAGCAGGAAAAATCTTAAAAATGAAAGCAACTTTCTTTCCTCTCTCATTGGACACGGGTGTGTTTTCTGGTATTGCTTAAGTGGAAACTGCTGCTTCTCAGTTCTCTTGTTCTTTGCCAGGATAGGATTGGACTCCTGTGATTCATAGCTTCTTTCCTTTGGAAATCAGAGCAAAATCTATCTTTTCAGTTTGGTATAACAAAGTCAGTGGAAGAAAATACACACACACACAGACACACACACATACACACAGTTTCTGTTCTATTTTCCATTCTATTTTTAGCACAGTTAATAAATCAAATTGACCCTTACTTGTCTCTGTGCCACCCCTTAACCACTAATTAGAGGGAGGACCAACTTGACTGATGGCTGTTCACCCTTGGAAGTGAAGTGTTAATGTGGAAGGCTTGAAGGGAGCAAGAAACTGACAACTGCATACCTTGACAGGAGCATCACTTTCAAAACCCAAATAAGTCATTTCTTTTCTTCTCTAGTCTATATATATAAAAAGCCAGTTCCCGAAACACCATAACACCTGGAATAACCAGTCACTATGATGCCCACTGCAGCCAGTGAACCAGCCGATCGGGGGTGGGGCTGGCCAGCCAACCTCTGGCAGCCCCTCCCCCTGGCAGGCCCTGCTCCTGATGGGCTCCCACCATCCTGATTGGCCTGCAGCCCCTCCCTCCAGCCAGCCCACCCCAGATAGCCCCCCTCACCCCAATAGAGGGTGGGCTAGCAGGCCAACCTCCTGCGGACCCTCCCACCACCAGTAGCCCCACACACAGAGAGCAACCTGTGGTGGGGGCAGGGCCGGTGAGCAGGCGGAAGAGCTGACCTCTTGGTTCTTCCCCTGCCCCGGCCAGCAGCCTCTGATCACCCGATGGCGAATGGGGAACTGGGAGTGGGTGGCGGCGGGGGAGGGGCTGGCTGCAGGCAGCTGGGGAAGTTGGCCCTGATTGCAGGCCAGGCCTAGGGACCATATCCGTGTATGGATTTTGTGCGCTGGGCCTCTAGTTTATATATAAAACATTGCATTTATTTAATGTGAATTCTTTTATGAGTTTAGAAATATACCTACACTCATGGTACCATCACCACAAAGTCTAACATTGTACACACTGCTCTAAAGTTTCATATTCAATTTATTCATCTGTTTCTTTAGACAATGTGCTTTCTGAATCTTGTTGAAAATTTTCCCTAGAAAAATGTCATAAGTATATTTTTCTATAATTTTCCTCCTAATAACTTGAAAGATTTACTTTTTACATTTAGGTCTTTACTCCATCTGGTATATTTTTTTGTGTATGGCTTCAGGTACAAAATGTGTGTGTGTGTGTGTGTGTGTGTGTGTGTGTGTGTGTGTGTGTGTGTGTTTCTATAAAATAATATCTTGAATCACTCATTATTTTACCTCTGCAACATGACATATTTTATGTTGTTCATTTCCAGCCTTTGTATGATTTTCTGTGTATCTATTTGTCTACCCACGTACCAACTGGATTTCATGATTTGTGTTCAGGCAATCTCCCTACCACGTTTTAATTATTTTTTCTTAGATATTCTTAGTACCTGACCTTTTAAACAAAGAGTACAAATAATGTGTCAAGTTCAATAAAATAACTGGTGAGATTTTCTTTGGTATTCTGTTGTGTTTATAGATTAATTTGGGTAGGAAAAATGATAAAAGTATCAGAACAATAAAATGACCAGAACGATCGGTTGCTATAATGCCCACTGCAACCAATGAACCACCTTGATCCGAAGGTGGGGTTGGCCAGCCAACCTCTTGTGGTCCCTCCCCCAAGCCTGCCCCACCCCTAATAGCATGCTCCATCCCAATCAGCTTGCAGCCTCTCCCCTGGCTGGTTCTGCCCCTGCATGTGTGTTTTTTTTTTCCCAACTGTGTGGTGATGTGTGAAAATCTTTATGTTATTGAATTTTTGATATTATCTCACACTAGTAGAATGAATTCTCTATAATATCTGTTTTTGGATCATTGTGATGTGTCTCATTTTTTTACACAGACAACTAAGTACAGAAATATAGACATTATAAATCTTTGGAGTGTAAGTTAAACATTGCAATTCAAAATTCAGTTAAACCTTACAATTTAGAACTCTTATAGTTTCTGTTTTTCATGGCTTTGCAGAGACAACGCAAAACAATGGTCAATAATTCATATTCTAGAGAATGTCAAATTGGCAAGTCATTTAAACTCTATATTCTTTTGTTTTATTATAGGTAGAATGGAGATATTGATAGTAATTACTTTATAAGGTTGCTGTGATGGTTAAATTGATTTCTTATATATAGAATTCTTTACAGTAATCAAAATATAGAATTAATATTATTTTAATAATATTAAATATTAGTATTAACAATTATGTTAATAAATATTAACAATTATGGTTATATTAGAAACCGAGAGCATCACATGTTAATTCAGTTCAGCTAAGTACTCAAATATTTATTCAACATTCTATGTGTATATAACAGAAGTAGTATATATTCTTAGTAATTCTGATAGCCATGGAGCCAAAATTCCTCTACCAATATTCACCTTTCCAGAAATTTTAATATTCTCTCTCCCATTGCTGACACTCCCCATTCTCTTTCCATTTTTTATCTGATGATATTTGTATTCCTATACAAATACAGTAAGGTCATCCCATCTTGAACCAAATGCCAAATTAATTTTTTAAAATATATTTTATTGATTTTTTACAGAGAGGAAGGGAGAGGGATAGAGAGTTAGAAACATCAATGAGAGAGAAACATCAATCAGCTGCCTCCTGCACACCCCCCACTGGGGATGTGCCCACAACCAAGGTACATGCCCTTGACCAGAAGCGAACCTGGGACCCTTCAGCCCTCAGGCCGACGCTCTATCCACTGAGCCAAACCGGTTAGGGCGAAATGCCAAATTATTTAAGACAATTTTGAAGAGCTTGTTAGAGAATAGAATTTTCCTGAAGTTTGGAAATATGCAAACATCTAGAAAGAAAATAACAAGAAAGTGAATTAACTGATAGAAAGATATATGAGAATAATTTGCTAAAATCATAGTTTACTGATGAAAATATTACCTGAATCTATGATGTTGGTTAAATAATAAATTAGAAAACTTCTCTGAACCAACTAAACTGTGCGTTTGATGGGTATAGAACTGAGAAGCTGACCAATTTACAGTTCTTGTATTCCATCTAGGCACCATCTTCTTTCACCCCACTGCTGAGGGAATGTCAAGGCCAGCTCTTGTCACTCAGTGAAATGAGGGTACAGTGGGGCCTTGACTTACGAGTGTCCCGACTAACAAGTTTTTTGAGATACCAGCTGTCTCTGCCGATTTTTTGCTTTGAGTTGACAGAGTAATTTGAGTTAACAAGCTCCTTAACGAGCTCGGTCTCGGAACAAATTAAACTCATAAGTCAAGGCCCCACTGTATTCTATGAGTCCTAAGGTAGAAAATCCAGTTAGCTTACTCCACTTCACTTTTCATCCACCCACCATTTTATTTGAAATTCTAGTCTCTATTAAAGACCCAAAGACACAGTTTATGTGTTTTGATTTTTATTTAAATACAAATGGTTAAATAGGTGTGCAATACTGGTAAAGGTGCTTCTAGAAGCTGGTAAAGAAGGAAAGGACTGCCTGTAATTCCCTGAAGAAGGAAAAAACACACACACAAAATATAGAAGGTGAGGATAGTAATTCCCAGAAGCCTTCAATCCGTGTTTTACCATCTTTCCTCTTTCATCCTCTTCCATGTGCTTTTGCCACTTCCTTTGACTTCTGTGACCCTTATAGTATATTCACCAAAAGCACACAGGGTGATCTATGTAAAATCAAATTTGTTCTCATTTCTCTGTTCACAAGCACTCAAAGGGTTTCTTATCTCGCTCAGTATTAAAACTTTAGAGCATTTACCATGTGATCACTAAAGCCCATGTGACCAGACTCTTGACCATTTTCTGAATTTGTCTCTGCCATTTCCCCCAGTCCCCTGCCTTTTGGCAGTTCTTTAAAGATGTTAAGCACATTTCTGCCTCAGGGCATTTGTGCTTGCTAGTCCCAGGGGTGCTGGAACATTGTTCTGCAGAGAATCACAAGGTTCACTACCCCACTCTGCCCACTCTCTGTTCTGACTTATTTTATCACTTCAAAGGAGCCTTTCTTAAATAATCTATCCATTATAGTACAACACCCATCTCTTTCATCTTTTTAACCTCCTTTATTTTTCTTCTTAGCTCTTATCACTATCTGACATATATTTACTTGTTTGTGTATTTAGAGTCTGTCTCCACTGACTAGAGTATGAGCTTTCTGAAGCAAAAGCTTTCTGTTTATTTTGTATACTGGTATATTCCAACATTCTAGAACAGAACATGGAATATAGTAAGTGCTTGATAAATATTAGTCAAAGAGCTCAATCCCTAATTTGGTCCTCTTATACTAACTAGGCAATAAAAGCTATTCTGATTAAGTATCTATGCAATTATCCACCAGGGAATCACAAACCAGGAGTAGAAGAAGATGGGTAAAGATTTTAAGTAGTGAGATAAACTTTACTATAAAATATAATTTTAATTATGCTGTTGAAAGAGAGATTAACAATACTTATAATACAGTGTGATATTAAGCTCTTATGAGTAAAGTAATAGCTGGGTCTAAATTCATTGGACCCACTCTAAAATATATTTACCAAAACAATAAATGTGAGTTAACATGGATGCTTAAAAAGGTTTCAGAGCAGGAATTAAGGATCAGAGAGCAGACTCTGCAATGTACATTGAGAGAACAGTCAGAGAGCCAGAATCTGCATCAACACATGAATTACAGTCCAGGGTATATTTTATTCCGTTTTGGTATCAGGAGCTCAAGGTCAGTAATGTGATATCTGCACTTAAAGGACCAATATCCTGCTTCCTTCACAGTCATCTCCTCTGTTTTCTGTTTTGATTTTTGTTTTTTGTTGTTGTTTGTTTTTTTTTTGCTTTTCAGGACCTGAGCCAATGTTTGGTAACTCTGTGTGTTTGTGTGTGTGTGTGTGTGTGTGTGTGTGTGTGTGTGTGTGTGGAGTGAGAGAGAGAGAGAAATATCAAGTAATAATGCAAGCATAAGTACATTTATGTTTTATTAATTACTACCCTGTGTCCTTGATTGTTTATTACTTCCTGTCTTAGTTTGACTTATCTCTTTGATTGGCTGACTGATTAATTAATTATTGAGATGAGGAGGATCCAGAGTCATATAAGTAGAGGAAAAGAATAACATTTAGCACTAAATTACATCAATAAGCAACATTAATTTGACTACGCAAGCAATTGACGGTCATTAGCCAATGAACCTCACCACCAAATCACTTTCCCATTTATTATACCTGTCAACAACCTTGATACTTACTATTTTCAATTGCCAGGAAAGAGGTAGAAATATCTTGACATGGATAGTCGTTCAATGGTGGGCATCTGGGCTCTAACATCTGGCTTTTCAAATGATAGTTGAACCTTTTAAAAAAAAAAGAGGTTCTAGATGAAACATAACTCTTATCCACTCTCAGAAAACATTTTGCACCATGAGCCAAAATATTCTGGGAATGATGGGACCAAGCCAATGTATATTCTCACTCTCTGTCACAGTTACCCTACTGTTTAGAAGTATAGCCCCATGTCAGAATATACTCTTTATCTCAAAATAAACACCTCATGCCTAACCCAAGGACTTTCAAAGTTCACTTTTCTATTTTGCATTTCAGATCTACAGATCTTAACTGATTCCTGGAGTCAATTCATGAGAACTGGATCTCAAAAAGTTACACCTTCAACCTCCAACATTAATCCTGAATTCAATAAGGCACAAACTCAAATATTATTCCTAAAACCTGAACTCTACAACTTTCACATCCTAAACAACAAGCTGACATCTGAAGATTTTGTCATGGACTGATAAATGAGATTCTATTGATACCATTGCAATTAACTAGTTATTAATAATAGAACAGGAGCAAGGGGAAAGGCAAGACACTTCAGGCTTGTGATTTGGGCAGCTTCACCAGGAAGCTTGAATTTCACCAGCCCATTCCCTGGAGACCACTGGGGGAAGGGATCCAACTAATGGGAGATGAGTGCATGCACAAGGAGTTGGGGTGACAAGGGAAAGCGCCTGTCAGTCAAGCCTGGGGATCAATGGCTTTGGCTAGACTAGGCAGGGCCATTGCAAGCCTGCACCAACTTGGCAATGCATAAGCCAGCAGATAAAGAAGCTCACTCCCTGTGTGGCTCTCTTGGCTCCCATACTCCTCTGGCTTTGTTCCTGCCCCTGTTGTCTCCATAGCTGCATGGCCCACAGCCACGTGGACCTCACACGCAATGGACTATAACTGGAAACACAAATCAGCCAGCTTGATGCTCCATTTGACTGTGGAGACATGGAACAGAGACTCTGGACACTGGCTTTGATGTCAGATCTGCTGAAAACAAAATGGTAATTCTTATTGGCAGGACAAACGGAAATGGGACCTTGGAAACTCTGGGGTATAATTGCACACAAATGCAGCTTTCTATAACATATCACCTTCCCATGTGAGCCTCAGAAAATTCTCAGGATATTGCAACACACCCACTCCCACCAGCAAGTGGTGGGGATGAGGACCTCTCCCCACTGATCACACTATTTCTAGACTTCTCCTAGCAATGCCCTAAAGTACAATGTCTAATTCCTATTCATCCAACAGGACTTAATTTCCAAAGTTCCCATTCAAGGAGACCCTAATGCAAGTTACAATGCAATCTTCTCCTGTTTACTAAAGCTGTGTTCCTCTTTGCCCACAGAGTGCTACTGTTCTCTACAGTTTTTAATTTAAAAACAACCATACAGCCCTAGCTGGTTTGGCTCAGTGGATAGAACATTAGCTCCAAGTGGACTAAAGGACCCTGGGTTCAATTTCAGTCAAGGCTGATCCCCAGTGGGGGGCATGCAGGAAGCAGCCAATCAATGATTCTCTCTCATCATTAATGTTTTTTCTCTCTCTCTCCCCTCTCCCTTTCTCTTCGAATCAATAAAAGTATATTTTAAAAAATAGTAAAAAATAAAACTGCCCCATATTCTTAATACCCTAAAGGGAGAAAGGTATTGATATTCATGCATTGATTTATTGAATGAATATCAATTCCTATGTGCCAACATGTTGAGGTGTTGAGCACATTTCTACCTTCATGAAGCTTGCATTCAAGTGAGTAAGTACAGGTAAAAACAAACAGAATATATGCGGAATGAGTGGTGGTCAGAACCCTGGAGGAAAACAAATTAGGAGGGAGGGGGGAATGAGGAATTTCCTGAGGTGGAAAAAGAATTTGGTCTTCTTTTCTGGACCACTCCATTCAAAGAATACCTTCTCCCCTTTGTTCTTTCACCTGCCCTAGATCCTTTGTGTAATGGAGCCTATCGCAATCTGCAGTGACACATGTGTTTGCTGGTCTACTTGTTTCGAATCCATCTCTCTCACAAAAAGGTCCTGAGTGGCCTTATGACACAATATCTCACTTACACCTATGTCACAGGATAGCAATAATCACCAAGTACGATAACACCCAATATATATTTATTCAATAAAGTAAGCCTTACAAGTCAACTCAAAATACTTTCCATTATTTTACTTAAAAAATGTATAGCTCATAACAAATAAGCTTACAGGTTATATTATTTTGTTCTATTTTGACCTCGTGCAATTTTGTGTTAAATTCTCCTCTTTCTACATCAGTTGTCAACCCCTGGATAATGGAAACCAGGCACTGATCTACATTTGTTTGCCTGACAAAGCCTGAAATTGTCATTTGAAAGAAGAAAAATAGTAAAGTCTTCCAGCACATGTACATACACACACACACACACACACACACATACACACACACAGGACTAAAAAAGGAAGAAGAAAAAACTTACCATCCGAAATACTTCCTCGAGGTGCAATCGCCAAGAATACATTTGGAAGCATCTGATTAGTTGTGTGATGAAGAGAGAGCCTTTACTAGTGTCTCTCCAGGACACGTTATCTGTGAAGATAAGGAGTGGTCAGCCTTGGGCTGCACCCTTGAATGTTTTCTTTTCTCACAGGTTTTTTTTTTTTTTTTTAATGTAGCTTTTGTGTTTTTTAAGCATAGCTTTGGAATGAACTTGACATGTTTAGGGGAAACACTTATATCTCTACATTAACTAATTTTCCAAAAAGAGGAGAAAATAGGAAAAAAAAAACTGGCAAAGATTTAACTAAAGGAATAACTCACCAGAATTTCATGATTGCATTATATTCTTGGACCTGACTCTTACTGTGTGCTTCATGTTCATTCACTTGTTTTTGAAAAGAGGCTTGAGAGATAACTGAAATTACCCCATTTTACAGAGGAAAGAATGGATGCTCAGAGGATTAAAGAATTCCCCCACGCTTATACAGTAAGCAACAAAAATGGCTCGCAGACTTCCAGGCTGTTTACAGAGTGTATAGCATTCTGTCTTTTACAATATTATAAGCAGAGTGGGTGAACAAATCCAAAGGAAATTGTGGTCATGGTTTCACTGATGTGTATAATATCCCAACTCACTATGTTATATACATTAAGTATATATAGCATTTTGTATGTCAATCAAACCTCCATGAGCCCTGACTGGTGTTGCGCAGTTAGAGCATGGTCTCCACATTGGAGGGTCTCGGGTTCCATTTATGGTCAAGGGCACATACCTGGGTTGCAGGTCAGATCCCTGCCCCCTGGTCAGGGGGCGTGTGGGAGGCAACCAATTGATGTGCCTCTGTCACATGGATGTTTCTCTCTCTCTCCCTTTCCTTTTCCTCCCCCCCTCCTTTCCACTGTCTCTTAAATTAATGGAAAAAAATATCTTCACTCCTTGTGTGAGGATAAAAAACAAAACAAAACAAAACAAAAAAACCAAAACCTCCATGAAGTGGTTACAAAAAGGAAAGACTTAAAACAAAAATTTGCAACGTAGAAACATTCAAATGTTAGAGGCTTCTTAGAGGACTACCTAGAGGTCAAGGACTAAACGCTGATCCCTATTAGTAGGGCTGCTAAGCCCCAGGGTATAATTTCTAGCTCTTTTAAAGGATCTCCTGGTCCTGCTGAGCCATGCAATGGCTCCCTCTAAAAAGCATCAAATGAGAACCATGGAGAAAAGGAGTTGGAGCTGATAATTTAAGGATGGCAGCCAGTGTCTGGATCCACTAAAACTCTATTCAAAATGCTAAACAGATTTCATAGAAATTGGAATCAAATTTGTTTTTTAAATGGTGTATGGGGAATGGGGTTCATTGTATTAGGTTGTTTTAGTATGTGGTATACCTTTGACCATAAAGTGCTGCACTTAGAATAAAAGTACAGTTTTAAAAAGTGGAAAATATAGAATCTCTGTTTCCATAGAATAGGTCAGATAAATGTAAATTGTTTTGACAGCCCTCAAAATGTGTCTTACATCACTGATGCAGGGAGCCTACCTCAATATTCTAGAATCATTCTGAGGTGGCCTTGTCTGTAACTGAAAGACCTACGTGGGGTTGAGGAGCAGAAAGCAATGAAGTCCTTCTCCACGTGTGCCTTATAAACTGCATCGTCCTCCAGGTTCTCAGGTGACTGTGAAGAGCTGTCTTTCACGGCTGCTGGAGAGTCACTGACCCACAATTCCCCGCGATTTTCTGTGGAGACATTAACTTTGTGCAAACTGTGTGCCTCTATCAGTATACCTGTCACTATTGTCTGCCTCATTCTCTTCAAATGTTTCTCAGCAATTTCACACACACACACACACACACACACACACACACACACACATGCATGCATACACACACACACCAAACCCTTGCCCCACACACATACCTTGGCCTCCTCTAATGTGTTTAAGTGCCAATTAATAGTGGCAGCATCTTACCAGCAAGTAGTGATAGCATCAGCAAACTGGAAGAACCCCTTTCCTAAGAAGAGCGAAGGACTTAAAACCTTATCTGCATAATTTCAGAGCCTAGTTACCATTATTCAGCTTGGCTATTTCTGCTTTTTCTTCCAAACACTGCTCCAAAATGCTAAGAGGCAATTGGAAGTCCGAAAAAAGCAAAGGAAATGTTGACAGCAATTCGAAGTGCCCACATCAATCTACTCAATTCCCTTTAAATAATGCATGAGGGGGAAAGGGTGCTTCTACTATAGAACAGCCCCAATTTGCAATGAAATTCTTCTCAAGGCAAAGAATGTCAAAATGCCTGTAAGACATGTCCAAGTGAAGCTCTCATTAAAATAATCTTATTCCAAGATTTAGATATTTGTGTCCAACTTTGATTTAGGTAGTCTGAAGATCTGCTTCACAATTTACCTTGGATTAAATCAAATAGATATTTCTTAGCTGAAAAGACAATCTCTTATGATACTAACTCCCCTTGGCATTTCCCAAGAATTCAATAAGGTATTTGCACTAAATGGGGTCTAGGATTGTTTACCCTAAAAGCAAGACATACACCACAATCCATTACAAACACCTCATGCCCTTTGGATTTTCCATATCAGAACTCACCACCTCTGCAGGCCTGGACAATGATGACCTTAGGTTTGTCCTTGAGACTGGGGCAGTTGCGATTGTTGAATATCCGAAAGATGGTGTCATAAGGTAGCACGTCTGGGTTTTCATCGCTGTGCTGAGTCCCACAGAGTCTATCTAGGAGGCCATGGGACATGAACACCAGGAATGTACTATCTGAGGTACTGTGCTCTGGGCAGGCAGCAAATACCACCAGCACTTTCTCCATCTCCTGAAAAAGGCCACGGAGTCTTACTCTACAGGACAAGCATTAACACCAATCTGACCCCCTGTTTATGGTGAGCAGTATAAGAAACACCTGTAATGTTCCAGTCACTGTGCCTTCAGATAGTGGTTGCTCAGTGATAGGTTTCTTTTTTTTTCTGACAATGGAGCTGGGGGTTCAAGGACCTGCTCCTGATAACATTATATGAGCTGTCCTCTGGATGTATTTTATCTTTGTTTATTTCCCCTTAAATATTTTTCTTTCTATCTCTGTCTTTTATCTGATTACCTAATAGGAGCCCTGCATCATAAATGTATCATACCACTTCCCTTCAACAACCCTTCCCACTGTGCTTAGAATGAAATCACACTTCTGACATATGTGTTCGCCCTCCTGTCATCCTTCCTAGGCTCTCCTTTCACTGGTCTTTTTGTATATTTCATGTGCCAGTTTCATATGTAGTTCAGACTTTTCATTGTAGTCATCCCTCTTGGAATGGATTGCATTCACATATTCCCAGACCTGTCTTGTTAGTGGTTGTCATCTGTCAGGACCTATACTCTCTCCTGTCAAGGCTTTTCCTGACGGTTCCATCAAAGCAATTACTCCCCACTCCCCAAATCGCTCCTGTGTTTTCTTTTCTCAATTACTTTTCACTTTATTTTCACTCTTACAGAGAGACACAAGACACATCAAATCTCTGAAATTTTCTGTTTTTCTTTTCATATGATTGCCCCCCCCCCCCCCCCCACAAACTAAATGCCCCTCCACCAGTAAACCTAAATCAATTCAAATTCGAACGTCCTGCTCATTCACAGACCTACCCCCAGTGCCGAAAACAGGCCCTGGGACCAAGTCAGGACTCAGTACTTATATGGTGACTACATGCCTTTTAAACATTCATTACTTTAGAACTTTCTGGGACTGTTGGGTCTGAATCTCATTCACCTCACTTTGGAACCGAGAATTATGTGGGTATACATGCCAGTCACTTTCTGTCTAGTTTTATGGAATTGAGGATCTTTGGAGCCCAAAGAGACAGAGATGTCATCTTTCTAATAATTTCATTTTACAAACACACATACTCACGTGCAGGTGCACACACAGAGAGATATGTGGCCTAAGGTTGTTAAAGCATTTGCCTATCATTATAAAGTTAGTTTGTTAGTAGGAGGTTGTATACAGTGCGTGAGGAGCCCTTACCTTGGCTGTGAGATTCTCTTCCACAATCACACGGTAGCCAAGGCCCACAAGTAACTCTGTCATCCCTGTAATGTCATGTTCTGCCCCTTGTCTGGGCTGAAGGTGATCAAACTCTCTATTGCATATGATGAGAGCCAGGCGAGTGCGGTCTGTTCTCTCCTTTATTGGATAGATCTGCAGGAAATGGATATGCAGTGAGTTTGACTTACCTAAATCTCTTTTAAACCTTCATATACTAATCTCTGTTGCTTTGTTACAGGATCATGGATCTGCTTTCTCCCCTCTCCTGCACCAGAGACCCTGCCTTTTGCTTTGTAATGAATGGATTGAACTGACAAAAGAAATAAGTGAGAATTGAAAGTGATTTAGAACTTTCAAATTATATAAAAATAAACTGAAAAATAAAATTATGTAATATATTTTCCAAGAGCCCAGAAGTGGACCTAGAACATATTTGGGATGCTTACTCAAGAAATTTAAGAGACTAGAACAAGTCCTACTATAACTTTCTCCTCTCTCTTCTCCACCTAGACAAATCATTCTCAGTGTTCAAGATTCACATCAAATTTCATAAAAATCAGGAGAATTTTCTATTGGCTCCTGCTAAAAATAAATACATCAGAGATGCTTTGCCTTTGGTAACATCATTATTTCAGTATTATTTTTAACACATCAAGATAAAATGGGTATCAGGCTTTAATTGTATTTTAAGTCATGTTTTGTGTCTAGGCTTTTCAACTAGTATGAAAATAATTACTAAATATTTTAATCTATAGCTACAGCTTAATTTTAATAAGTCTCAAATAGATAGAAGAAATAAATGAAGAGAGAGAGATCTGTATTTTATCATGGGATTGAAAGAAAATTGAAATCTGTGTGAGGCTATATGAGTTCCTCCTTGCTCTATGAAAATGATTACCACTGTCCCCAACCCACCACTCTGCAATTAGTGCTTTAGGGAATCAAGTACTTAGTGAAAGCAATTGCTTCTCTCTCTTTCTCTTATGGATAGAACACAGTACCTCTCCAGCCCTTTCTTTGCACACATTCAGGAACTTTTCAGGAGGACAAAGCTTGAGGGTATCCATAGTTTCTGCTGACTCAGCTGGCCCAGTCACTTCTGGAGGAACTGCAGGATCTATCACATGACATCACATGATGTAATTTTAATATCTGCATCTGTTACCCATTTTCACCTAAGACATACTGACAGAGAAGGTAAGTCATGAAAAGTTCTTTAAACACTTTTAAATGTAGGAATTTTCCTTGTATCTAACCTCTAATATGAAGAAGTGTATTGTGATTGGGGAAAAAAGGGGAAATTCTTGGTAGCAGATGCACCCAAAAATGTGATACTAGATTATGATTATTAAGAGGAAAACACCTTCCTTAGTGACTTGGGTCAAATTTGGCTTTTTTTGTATTCAGCTAAAACAGCTTGAGTCTTGATATTTTTTACTCTACTGCACTCACTCATCTAAGTGGACAGTTTCTTGTCACTGAGCAAGAGTATATTGAATAAATATTTAATAGAGTGCTATTCATTAGAAACACAATTAAGTCACATGTGCAATTGAATTTTTTCTAATGTTCACATCATAAAAGGAAAGAAAAACAGATGAAATTAATTTTAATAATATTTTATTTGACATAATATATTCAAACTATTATCATTTTAACATGTGTTCAAGCACTATGTAGTCACAATGTGGCTGGTAGCTATCATATTGGACTAGAGGCCCAGTGCACAAATTTGTGCACGGGTGGGGTCTGGCTGGACCACTCCGATCAAGGCCAATTAGGCTGGCTAGCCAGAGGGGAAGGGCCATGGGCAGTTGGCTGGCTGGCCCTGCCAGCTAGTGGAACATCCAGTGGAATTGACAATTTGCATATTAGCCATTTATTTTATAGGATGGTAGAACATCCCAAGTCTGCTCCTAATTTATACACAACACAGACACAGACGCACACTAAGCATCTAAAAGAATCCTCAATCCTGTAACATCCAGGCATTATTTTTTCAGGGACCTCAGCCTGAATTCTCAACTTTTCCAGAGGAGATGGGCTTCTAGGATTCCTTGAAAAGCTGTGGAGTCAGCTATGTCCAGGAGAAATGCTACTAGCCACCAGAGTACTGATTCCAGAGCCAGGGGGACAACATTTTGCTTGGAGATTCTAACATACACTTGAAGTCCTTGCCTCCAAAGTTCTGATGAACTGACACTAAATTTTCAACCCATGTTTTAAAATGTGAGAGAATAACTCCTCCCTTTTGAAGAAGTTTGTTTCTGACTCATCCTGACCCAGTCCTTAAAAAAACCTTACTGTATCTGTCAGAGCTTGGCATCACTTGACAAATTTTGCAAGAGACTGGAAAAGTCCAGCACCCCTCCTTTCTGAGGAATGAGTAAGAATTCATAAACAGCCCTAACCGGTTTGGCTCAGTGGATGGAGCGTCGGCCTGTGGACACAAGGGTCTCAGGTTTGATTCTGGTCAAGGGCATGTACCTTGGTTGCGGGCACATCCCCAGAGGGGTGTGTGCAGTCGGCAACTGATCGATGTTTCTCTATCATCGATGTTTCTAGCTCTCTATCCCTCTCCCTTTTTCTCTGTAAAAAATCAATAAAATATATTTTTTTAAAAAAGAATTCATAAACAATAGAAGAGAGGTTTGCCAAGATCTAATTAACAAGGTTTTTGTCTAGGAACAAACCTTGATGGTTATTTACATGAACCAATCAAGGCACTCCCTGGTTTTCTTTTATTTAAAAGAAAAAGGCAATATTATCCTGTATAAATGTTTTAGTTTCTATTTTTTCTATTTTACTCATTTATTTCCATTAGTTTTTTCATAACATTTTTAATAAACATCTTTCTAAAACATATGCTAAACACTGAAGCTCTATAGAAGCAGCAAATTGTTAGTCTCTAAGGGAACCAAGCTTTCTGAACATTTTTATAGATTAAAAAGAGGCATGCTCTCCTTTATCATCCCAAAAGATTCTGGCAATGTAAAGACGCCCCGGGTCCTGGGAGGTTCCCTCATTAGAGAGGATGTTTCTCAGCAAAAACCTCCTCTGTTTCCAAGCTATTTGCAAGTTTGGTGAACACTCTTAACTTAAGAAACATCATCTCCTAATGACCATTGTGTGTCTATATATAATTATAGTGTTTGCAGTTAAGATTGGGAATTATATTTCTATGTTACATCTAATAGTATGAATTAGCATGAAAACAAATCCTCTCATTACAATATAATAGATATTATAGTACAGCCTGCTGCCCTAAAGGAGTTTCTGGCAGTCTGGGAATGGAGCTGAAAGAAATGCGAGAAATAGGAGTTTAGATAAACTTGAAAAAGCTCAGTTTACCTGTTACCTAAGGACACATTCAGGAAACCCCTTCAAATGATATAAAAAGGAAGGGACTGGTATTAGATGAGACAAAACCATATCCCTCGATGGGTAGCATTTTGAGTACTTATCTCTCTGACTAAATATCAATACTTGGTACATCGTATGTGTTTATATATGAGTTTGTTTAATAAAATAAGCAATCAAATACCTTGTATTCTTTCTATTCCCCACATCATTCCCTCAATATTATACTAGGGAACCTCAGAATTATATCTATGGCATGTCCAAAAGGCCTGGCCAGGACCTTACTTGTTCTAACAGCTCATCTCACCCAGCTTCCTGGCCTGCTAGGCTTGTGGACCTTAGTTGTCCTAGGATCACCCTGGGACTCCATGTGCAGATAGAGCCCAGGGAACCACAGAACACATCATGATAGGATTTACCCCTGCCTCCTGCCTGCTACTTTCTATCTCTGCTGATGCAGTAGTTTATCTCAGCTTGATTTAATGCTTATTGTCATTCCTGGGGTTGCTAAAATTATTTTATAATTTCTAATATTCAAGTGTGATTTCTGTTTGCAAATATTTTATTTTTGGAAAAAAAATCCAATTATTCCTACCCCATCCCAGATTAAAGAGAAAGTAATAAACCTGAACAAGGAGCAGGATGAATGTTAGTGAGAACACAGCTCAGGCCACAATCTTGGACATCTATCAGAAAAGAGTGTCCTTCCTGCTGAGGGGAATGTCCCTTCCACCTAGAGAAGGGCTTCTTTTAAAAGCTGATACACAGATATGCATAACCCATGGACACAGACACTAGTGTGGTGAAGGCCTGGGGGATAGAGGGGAAAAAATGGGACATATGTAATACTTTCAGTAATAAAGAGACATTAAAAAAGAGAAAAGAAAAAAGAAAGAAAAGCGTATGTGTAATTGTGAGGGCTCTATAATGTATTTAGTCTTTTATGTATTAATTTTTTATTATTATTGATGAACTCTAGTGAAACAGGAATTTTAGGGGTGAAATAGGACAAGTTTAGGAAATATTAGAACTTTTGGAAGTTAAGGGAACCATGTAGGAAGCACAGGGTTGCAGAGCAGCAGAAGGTATATTTCCATAGAATAGGGGAGCTGAAAAGCTGCAACAGGTACATTTCCATAGAATGAGGGAGCTGGGAACAGCAAAAGGTCTATATTTATAAAATAAAGAGAAGGAAGCCCTTCATCCAGAAGGAGAGGAAGAAAGCCCAAAGGGAATAGGAAAACAATAGGAAATGAGATGGGGGAGAACTTCACATGTCCCAACCTTGAGCCCAGGAATTACTATAGTAACCAGTCCAAGGGAATAGTGACCAATCAGAGGGGATATTAAGTCACCAAGATCTGCAGCTTTTATAAGCCGTAGGGAAAAGGAACTCAGTGGGATCTTTTCCCCCTCCCTACGTGGGAGTCCATTCTGTGGGGCTCTTTCCCTCTCCCAACATGGGAGTCCATTCTGTGGGGCTCTTTCCCTTTCCCCTCATGGGAGTCTGTACTTGTTCTTCAATAAATCTCCACCTTTGCCATACCACTGTCTGTCCGTGGATTCATTCTTCAATTCCAGGGGACAAAGAACCTGGGTTCTAGTCCAAAAACTCTGTATCACTAGTATACAGGTTTGGTATTTTATTTTAAACTCTGCAGCAAGCAGAGTCCATCACTGTTGAACTTGGGTCTGAAGACATGTAGTCTCTAGTAGCATTTGTAATCCAATCTAGGTCAAACAAATAAACTAACACTCAGAAGCCTGCTACTGTATTTGGTTATATAAAACGACTCAAGCCTATTAATGTGTCCTCTGAGGTCACGGTTCATTATGCTTGTCAATTTCATGGACAGGAATTAAATGTAAGGTTTTTAAGTTTTTATAAGGATCTCAATATAACAATACACACCTTAAAAGTTTAATCCAGAAATTCTAAGAATTGGCATGAGCCAACACTTGTGAAATACACTGAGTTTTCCTCCCATAGTTACTATTGAAGACAAGATTTCCATAGACAAAATATGGTCTAGTTCCCTGCTCTGCATGAGGGAGAGCCATAGGCTATCTCTCAAACTGCTGAGACCAAGGCGACAGACTACAGCTCATCCCGTCCTTCCCATCCAGACTGCTGGACTGAATTAACCATCAATAACTTCAAGAACGTTTCCTGGAGGAGGCCTTGTGGTGGCAGGAGTGTACATGTCAAGAACTTTTTTTTAGAAAGATCTCTCCCATTAGAGTCATTCAAATAAGTCATCGAATTACCATATTCTGTGGTCTAGAAAACAATTGCCAAGTAGATGAGGGAGAGACAAAGGCATGACAGCCTGACTGAGGAGGCATCAGCTGGCAAGCAGCCAGGTAACTCCAGGTGTTGGCTTTATTAGAGTGGTTTGTCCAAGTGCCTCTAGGACTCAAGGATTATGAACTGAAAGGAATGGGTCAAGGAAGAAGAAACTGGCTACTAACAATTATTCCGAACCCTTATTGTTAGTTATTGATTGTCTTTAATTTGGGGGAGTGTTAAATGGAAAAAAAGGTATTAAAAACAGGAAGTTACCCAGAGATGAACTTTGCTATGTCAGTAAGCCAGGCATAGGTTTCCCCTAGTCCCGGAGAAAAAGAGGTCTTGCTTTCAAAGAACAACTTTTGCCTCTGATTGCATTTGGGAAGCATAAAAGAGACCAGGGGTTGAGAGTCCGCCAGAGCTCCCTTCTCGGCTGCGTGGGGGACTTAGGGACCTTGGATAGAAGG